AGCGCGAGGAGCGGCGCTCCTGCCTGGCGCCCGCGCACGGGATGGACGTTCCTGAGCGCTGAGCTCAGCGCCTCGGAAAAGCGGCGAGGAAAATACACAGCTGGATGAGATTGGTAAGTCAAGCTAAAGTCACATCCTCCTCCTTCGCGCTGCAGTTTTCCAGTCTCTTACTTCGTGATGTTTTTTGCAGGCGGCTTTTATATTGTCCTCTCAGCAGAGCAGCTGGGGAAACATGGAGGCAAAATAAACGTGCAAAAAATCTTGAGTGTTTGTCAGCGGCCGCGCTCGTGGTTTAAAGTCCGTTTTCCACGTTGACGTTTGGCTGCCGGAGTTGGGAAGGGGAAAGCGGCAAGTGGTTTTGCATGCGGGGGAAAAGCAAGCTGCTAAGAGCTCCAATTGGTTTTTCCAGTGAGGATGATTCAAGAGGGAGATTTGAAAGAAAAAAAGAAATAGACTGTCCCGAAGCTCGAAATGATTTGTCATTCACTTTTGCGGAGCAAAAGCAACACCCTCGCCACGCAGCTTTAAAAGGCAGTCAGATGGGGCGACTTGCCCAGATAGCTGCGTTACCGGTGGCAATCCCGATGCGGAAATCTTCGGGAGCGCGGGGCTGCTCCGTGTTCCCCGTGGGCCGGCGAGGCGGGCGGGCGGCAGCGCCCCGCGCCCCGGGCAGGGGGCGATGTTGTCGCGCGTGGCGCCGCCGCGGCGGGGCCGGGAGCCCGCGGGGGGGGAGCCCTTGTGGGCAACGCGCGCAGAAATTATCCGCGTGTGCGGAAAGCTGCCGTGTGCGGCGCGCGGGCAGAGCAGGCGATGCGCATTTTGTTGTTTTATCTGGTTTTCTTTTCTTTTTGTTTTCTTCCTCCCTCCTTTTTTTTTTTTTTTAACTTAAGGGCACGAAAAGTGGATTGGTCTGAATTAAAAAAAAATCTGTTGCTCGACTCAGAAGCTAATTAGAAATTGGAGCTCAGTTATGATCCTGTTATCTTTTCTGGAATGTGTTTTATGCATGGGGTCAGCCTGGAGAAAGGAAGGGAGGGAAAGTGCAGACTCTCCTGACTGAAGCATTACTTCAGTAATGGTGTGGGAGAAAAGGAAGGGCTATTACTCAGTGTTAATCAATTTACAGGCTGGAGTTAGGTGTCTGATATGGAAACACATCCTTTCTATCCAGTGTAGAGGTGGTGCAGAGGCTGGAGATCTATAAACTGAATAATAAGGGGAGCCATAAATCTTCACTGTTGAAGGGCTTCTCGTTGAGCAACTGGGGGAAGGGAGAGGGATGTGTCTGGGTAGCGATGCAGATTTCTTGGTAGAAATCTCTATTCTGCTGCTGGGACAGGAGGCGTGGTGACTGTGCCATGTGCTACTCATTTATAAACAAGAATGAGAGGACAGAGTCCTTACATCTATCTATGTACACTTACATATGCGTACCCAGGTGTATACAATAACATTCTGCTGCTTTTTGGAGTAAACATCTGAGGACTCCTTGACTGAAAGGCATCACAGGAATGAAGGTGTTATTTTAACGAATACAATGTCAGAGTAGAGAAAACCAAGGCTGTTAAGTTTGGCTGCTATACCAACTGTTAGAATGAAATATTTCTGTTGTAGTTCTGCTGTGGCTTTGATTGTACCTTCAACAACAAGATGTTTCTGTCTGCCTTCGTTCCTGTTACTTTACTGTCACTTAAATCCTTTCAGTCCTTAATGCGAGGTGGGCTGGGCAACGCAGGTTGGAAGTGAGGGACCATATGGAACCCAGTTGTACAGATTTCAAATTATTGCACTTCATTGCAAAGTTTAGGCTGCTACTGCATCTGCTGAATCAGTGCAGTGCATGAGCAGGGGTAAACCTCACCTACAGAAGGCTGTTAAAGGTTATTGTGAGGCAGTGGGTCCTTGAGACAGTAGTAGATCTTTCAGGAAAAGAAGCAAGCTCTTTGTACTCCTGTTGTTCTTTAGACATCCAGGTATGAATGTTCCTTTGAAATGATGTGCTGGATGAAGGCAGGATTTCCCTCTTCAGTTCACCCTTGTCATTTTAGTCTAATATAGATTTTACTCATTTGTCACTTCTTTTGGTGGAACAGGCACTAGTTGGATGTCTAATTGCAACTTCAGTAACTTAGTGAGGATTCCTTTCTTTGCTTTCCTACAATTGGCTACTTGATGGGTTTACTCAGCTCTCCTTGTGCTGTGTAGAACATGCCAAGCTCCTGGGTAGGAGAGCAAATTCACTGAGAATGCAGACAGAGGTGTCAGACATCTTGAGACATGTTTGCACCTAGCAGATCCTTTTCTTGATTGGAGGCTAATTTCTTCATTGAGAATATTTTTTCCATGGTCATTGATGTTCAGTTAAGCTGTTACCACTTGCATCTTCCAGTATATTCTGTAACTTTTCTAACACGGTACCCAAAGTGGTTTCAGTTCAGCTGAAATACTTTCCTACTTGCCTATATTTTAAATAAAAACATCTGTGTTAATACAGAAAAGCGATGAAGTTTGGTATGACTGATCCTCTTTTTACTGTTCTGCTGAGAAATTCACTTTAGGATGTCCACTTTTATATCACTCTGGAGTGTTTTTTGGGAGTTATTTTCCGTCTCGAAGTCCACACTGTACGTGTGTCAGGAGCCGATGCTGGGGTAAGACACTTCAACTGCGGAGTCTCCAGCACATTAGCTTAATGTGGCCTATGTGTGTGATATTAAAATGTGAAGAAATCCCTCACCTGTGTCTATGCCCAGTTAAAGAAACAGTGATTCCTTGAGTAGCATTTTTCTTTACTGTGAGGGTGCTGCTCTTAAGTAGATCCTTCCAGCTTTGGCAGCTGGTGGCATTCTGTGCCTGCCCCCGTAATGCTTAGCTACTCCACGCTGATGCTGACAGCAGCTCTCCTGGGTGAGTCTGACCAGAGAAAGGCTTGTGGTTACCCATCAAATTACTGGCAGATCAGTACCTAATATTACTAGGTAATTCAGACCCAGCCTATCTCTTTTACAGATCTTTAGATTCTTAACGCAGAATCAAGTAGCCTATCAGATCCTACTGAATGAAGCTTAAAGTAAAATCCCTTCCCTAAGAACTCTTCTAGCTTCAAGGTAGCATAGGGTATTGCCACAGGTTTTTCATGTGGTGCTCGTGGATCCGAATTGGATCGGGTCTTGCTCTAAGTTGTTAGTAAAATCTTTTTGCTTTATATACCAGAAGCAGGCTCCCAGTTCCTCAGTTTCATTTGGAAGACTCACTGTGCTGATATCAAAGAATGAGGCAGGCTAGTATGCTAACAGCTTTAATAGACCATGTTTAACTGAACAGTGCTAGAGGGGGTTTTGTGCAGGATTTATTGGGCTGTCTTTACTTCTGACAGTCATTTGGAATGCCACCTTTTCCATCACATGGGATATTTTGGACTGTGTGTGGAGACCTCAAGTAATTGCTCTGTGCAGCATCAAAAAATGACCTGCAGAGAAGGTAAAGTGAAGGAAGTAAGATTGAATAGGTCTGAACATGGAGATGGGGAGGAATTATTGCAGGAATGTGTTCCCCGGAGAAAAATTTAAGTGGAGTGGATACCCATATGCAGCTAGTCCTGACTTTCAGACAGACTGCACCAAATCTGCCTGTGTGTGTGAGCATCCTCTAAGGAATGCATTTGTTTCCCTTCTTCACATATGCATAGCTGTTATCTTGTGGCTGAGACAGTTGATGACTGAGCTGTTTCTTTGTTTTATCTGTATTTCCAATGTTCTTTTCTTAATATGGTTCCTTACAATCCTTGGAAAACTTCAATCTGTGTGTCCATTATTGAGAATATTATTTCTTAACTGTCAAAAATAATGAACCAAAATCTTTCTAAAACGTTTAGGCTCACTACCAGTTCATTATACTTACAAAAACATGATAGTGACCTAATGTATCATTAAATTATCACAATTAAATATTGCAGTTACCTTGCCAGCCAGTAAATCAAAGATACTGCAAAATTCCTTTTGTCCTCTTTGCTGCTCCATGAAAACCATCAAATAGTCTTCTATATACTTAGCCAAAGTGTGTATCCTGTTGATATGTTTTAGAGCATGAAATAGGGAAGTGAGGGAGGAATTTCTAGACCCCAAGGGAAGCAATAAGGATCCTGCTGAGTCCCCTTCCTTTTTCATAATCAGATAATTTCAAGAGACCATGGGTTATAAAGTTTCCACCTGAGAAGAAAAAAAGATGAAGTGGTAGCTGTAGCTTCCTATTTTGTCAAATTGTCCTTTTTTTGTTGTTGCTGTAAATACAGCAGAACTGGATACTTAAGGCGAGGCATACGGTCACAGGAAAACAGTGATGAAAATAGAGCTGCAGAGTCTGTAGAAGGTCTTTCAAATGGAGGTTTTTAACCCTCAAGTCCTTCGTCTACATAATTTTTAGTTTCTTGCTCTTCTGCATCGCTGTTCTTGAGATCCTTGCTAGGGTGAGACAGAAGGACCGTGACATAATGACTCGTCCCTTATGTTGTGTTGTCTATAGTGCAATATTCATGTACAACAGGTAGGCCAAGGACAGCACTCTTTGCCCCTGCCCTTCACAGTTCTTTTCACTTCTTTTGACTGAGTATTCTGTGGTTTAGCCAATTTGATGGGTAAGTCAGACTGTGTGTCCAGTTACTCTTTTCTAGATGTACCAGGACCTGTAACTTCACCTACTTTGGTATATTAACAGGGATGATTATGTAGCTGTGCTTATTTTGAAATTCACTGAAAGTACATGGAGAAACTCTGTAATTTCAGTCCTTTAAGAGAATCTTTTCCAGCAGCTGATGAAACCCAAGCTCATGCCAGATGAAAAGCTCTTGTGTTATCATTTCAGTTAATTAAAAAAATAAACCCCAAATCCCTTACAGAGGCAGTTTTATAAATACCGTATGTGTGCGTACACGAATACTTCAATTTTGTATTGATTGTTTATACCTTTGAGAGCAGTCTGTACTTTCAGGTATAAGACTCAAGACACAGAAATTCTGGAAATTTTTTGTTTGTTTTTTTGTCGTGCATCTTAGTATAGCCAGAGCACCCCCAAAATAAAGTAAAAGCTCTCAGTGTTTTCATCAAAATGGTGAATT